TAGGGATGAACTTGATGTCCGCTCTGCAGCTCTGAGGGTAGGAATGCGTCAACATAGGGATGAACTTGATGTCTGCTCTGCAGCTCTGAGGGTAGTAATTTTTACGATAGATATGGTAGTAGCTTGGATAGATTGAACTCCAGGCTTCAGAAATAGTGACATTGTTTCAAGTTGCAATTACTGCGAAAATTGTTGGAAATAAGTTTTTGTTTTCCAGTACCAACAATTTAAAAATTGTACAAATTTTTAGATAACATATTTTTGATTTTTGATATATTTTTAAAGATCTTTTGATTTGAAGGTTATAAACATCCAACTTTGAGTGATCATTAGTTCTTCTGTGAAAAATGTATCAATCGCCCAGTGGTCTCTATCAGGTTTTAAATCTAAACTTACTTAAATAAAACTCGCGTTTATGTAGCCATCGGAGCCGTATGAATCTTCCAAACGCACTCTCGTCCTGTTGACTAGCGGAGAAAACATACAAAGATAGAAATAAATTGGGAAGAATGTCTCAATTGCTGTCACAAGAATTTTGAACGCGAATCATATATAATAAATAAATTTTCGGTCTCGCTCTTCTCTCAGGATTCAGCTCAGATAGTTAAATTTTATGAACTTGGTGCTTGTAAAGTTTGAAGAATTTCCCTATAGGTGCAGTTTTGCCATATCATGTAAATTTTGTGTTTTATTTCATAATTTGAAGGAGGATGAAATAGAAATTACTAAATGAGAAGAAATTGAGCTACTGTCCGGTAAGTAAGGGAAAGTGGGGTACAGCGGGATATGGGGTACAGGGACATGTAAATTATTTTATATATTAAAAAGTAATATTAAACAACTGTATAAGGTAGTAATAGCGTACAAGTAACTGCATTGACTGATGTAGCAAAGAGACTTGTTGCTCTGTCATGCATTCCTCTGTGCGCAATCAATTGTTTTGAGGTGAGTCAGTATATACTTGTTTTCATGAATTGAATGTAATAAGGTGGTCTATTTTGCGGACTGCAGCTTTATATAGACTAATTGTTAGATCATACGCTCAAAATTAATTGCTCAAGATAATTAGTAACTTGGTACATTAGTTTTCAAATAGCGACCGAATGTTTCCAAAATATTGGTTAGGGGTATATTGGGACAGTGTCCATGTCCCACGATCTTGCAATTCTTCAAGCCAGACCTTGCAATATGAAAAAAAATTATCCGTTTGCCGCCAAATATTTGTTGAATGAAATACCAGGCTCTACGTCATCTTCATTAGACGAAGAATTCCGCATTTTTCATCTAAAGCATTGAACGAAGAATTACTGATAGGAAAAAGGTAAAAATCTTTAAACACATTTCATAGAGAACCAAAGGTCCACGATTACGTTCTTGTAGAATTTGGCATCACCGAGCCTAAAACATATTATGTAGGCTTAATAACAAAGCCATTTGACATGAAGAACATGAAATATCATACTTCGTCTTGGAGGAAAATTTTAACGTTTTGTATTTATTGCTGCAGTTTATCTTGCGGCAGTCAGTATGGGGAACATTTGTTTCATTCATAGAAACTGTATTAAATGTAGAACAACAAAAAGACAAACTTCTAAGCTGAAAAGTGACTATAATTTTGATGATAGCATAATAGTTATAAGTGTCCCAATATACACCATGGACTGTCCCATAATACGCCTGGACGGGGTATGTTTTGATTTTAATTTGCATTTTCACTATTTCTACTAAGAGGAACAGTTCTAATCATTGCTTAGGTATTTACTTAGCAATGTAACCAAGGATGTGATGCGTAGTTTCATTTATATAAATTCATATTTTAAAAAGGAAAATATATATATATATATATATGTTATTTTGCATTTAATTTTTTTGCCCCATTGTACCCCCGCTTTCCCTTACAAAGCAAGACTGAAGTAATTTTATCGAGGTGAATCGTAAATTTATTTGCTGCACGAAGGTATAGGAAAATTTATGCACAAAGGGAAACGTGCCCTCTGTATAAAATTTTCAATAAATTTTCAGTGAAAATTATGGGGATGTCGGAGAATATAGGAAACTTGATTTTCATTTCAATATTAAATTTTATTCTACCTAGAATCGTTGGATCCTATATCTTGAGGCACGGTGTGCAAAAATAGTTTGAGAAATTATATGCAAAACAAATAGAACAATTTCGAGAATCATGTAATGTTTTCGTGCTATTATTTAAACGCAACAGTCAGGACACTTTTTTGTTTAAAGTCATCTGTAACCTGCAAAAAACCTTCATTGATAATTTAAAAGCTGTATAAAATCTGCATTAATAAAATACGAATTTTATTTTTTTTTAAGCTAACCCGTTGAAGTTTTAATCATGACTCACCTTGCATGATTTCATTTCAATTAAACGTTCACAAATTCCTAGAGGAGCTTGCGAGAAACAGATTTTTGGGTACACGATGAGAATTTTAACTGTGTTCATGAATTATTCATTGAGCAATCTTGAATAAATAATAAAAAAAAATTAATTTGTGTTGCTCAATATATATTTGATAAATTTTCATCTATTATAATAAAGTTACAAACAATGGTATTAGAGAAGTTATGCGCCTCTCACATATCCACCTTTGAGCCACTTGTTTGACATTAGCTCTCACGGGAGCGCAGCCGTGCACCACCAATTTTGTGCACCAATAAGCCCTGAATCGAACGCCTTGGATCTCTCCGGACCTACACCAATCAGCCGTGCACCACTCGGCTTTGTCCTCTTCCGGCCTTGACCACCACCTGCCGTGCACCACCAGGCCGCGGATCGAATATGACTTCTGAGCATCGTTAAATTACGTAATTTTACGTTCACCGCATTTGAGGTTAGGTTTCAGAAAGCATAGTTCTGTTCCAAAATTTATCGTCCTTCGACAAGAGGCCGTTCGCCCGAGGGCTGTTTCAACCCACGGCCTAGATACGGACGGCTTGAAGTGTTGAAGACTACGTTCCGGAAGGCAGGAATCATGATGGTCCATTACATCCAAGGCAGTGGTGGTCTTCGGCAGGCGACCCAGCTCTCACAACGAATCCAATCGACTACGCAGCGGACATTCCGCGTTGCGATCAGTTTTGAATTAAGTAACGGTGTTTGGTGTACTATCGTAGCTGTTCCGTACGTTTTGAGAGCTGAAGATTTGATGACTTGGTTAGAATGCTTTAAAGGAATGTAGAGGCAGGCACTCTGACCTGAGATAGGTCAGATGCATGCATTTACTGAAGAGATTTAAGCGCCGGTATTAGCGACTGGCAAACTTCGAGACAAAGTGATGCTGTGGGCTATCACCAAATCCAATTAGGCTGCCGTCAACATTTACTATTGCGAGTTTCAAGTACAAGCTCTGAACTTTTCTTCGTCACGACCATGCACTTCGGCAATAGACTAACGTTAATATACTGCGTAAGTTAACTATCAAACGATTTTTTGCAAACTTGAAATCCATGGATTAAAAATGTATCTTATTCAAAACAGTAACAAAGGGAACTTGTTGAAACTATTGATGACCTAGGCCTTGAGATAAGTAAGCTAACAGTTCAGTACTCATTGATGAGATGCTAGCTTAATGTTTCGAGACAGGGATACTCAGATAGCGTTTGCTGGTCTGAACGGCCGGCATCTGCTAAGCTTATCTCAGATGTCTATTGACAAAGTCTTTCTTAGTCTCGACCTAGGCAGGTCAACTAAGCAGATTGTTGTAGAAAGCATTCATACCTTCAGGCATCAAAAAATCAGATCAATTACTGGTTGAAAAAATATACGGTTCTGTCATCGAATTGGGCAGATTCGAAGAGCACATCCTGGTTAAAGATATTAATGCCCGGATAGCTTATAAAGCAATTTTATTTTCCTTCGACTCATGTCCCATGCTTAGGTACGGGCAAAACTGCAGCGTATGCATTGGTTAAACCTATTTATGCCCTAGGCTTCGAACAAAATACTCTCACAGACCGCAGGTTGGCAAAATCCAACCCCAATTGTTCGCGATCGACGAGCAAACTTCCGCTTGCTCCTTGAAGCGATATACGCCCTGCGCTACGAAAAAGACAGAATTATATTCCCCTTAGAATATTTATGCTCCAGAGCATCGTGTAAAGCAGACTTAAAGGGCAAGTAACTCATGAATAAGACCCCTAATTGAACCGAGCAGACTTACATGGCACGTATTTGTTTAAGCGATTCTTGCAGATGGTGTCTGTGGTGAGCGCCTCGTCCACGTCACCCGTGGCACTCTCGTGCTGCAGACGTTCGAAGTGGAAGCCAAGAGTGTCGGAGGCTTGCAGCTGCAAAATTACAGCTTGAGTTATATTTTTTCTTTAAAATACATAGTTGGAATGATAAATTAAAGAACGTTTCTCAAGAGAACAATCCATCGTAGAAGTGGTCATAGTTTCAGCAGATATTGCTGATTTTCGAAATTTTTAACGTCAACACCATAAATGCATACGGTCATCACAAATTAAAATTGAGCTCTTTGAATGTTCTGATACCGTGCAAAAATTATTCATCATTCATTTCTTCCGAAATAAAAAAATTCTTTGCTGATTCTCATTGAAACCATGGATAAATGAAATTATGTCATGTGATATATAAATATCTTAGTAGATTCATCATGTGATATATGATGGTTCAACAGTCCATTTAAGAGACCTGAGTCATGGCTGCCAGCAGCTCCAGACGGCGCTGTTTCTGGTCTCCAGACCTGGAAATGTAGCAAACAATTATCCACTAAATAAATGAAGGAGTTCTACTACTGATGAATAACAGCTAGACTTCATGTCAACGGTCTATGTTGCGGTAATTTCCAATTATTATAGCATCAATTATGTTTCAAAGGAAAGTTAGAAATAGTCTGAGAGAAAATAATAGTCTCGAGCTAAAAATAATCAAGGATTTTGGTAAAATGTTTAAGGAGTTAGTTTGGAGTCTAAAAAAAAGTCTAAGGGCGTGGTGATTAATCATACTGTAACTAATATGAATTTTCATTTATTTGGGATTAAGGTGTTAAATTCTCTTTCTTGTGCATGATAAATATGGTACGGGGGCCATACTTTCAAAACTCGCTAAGTGAACGTAAATACTTACGCTCTATTTTCTTTTGTCTATGATTGGTGGATTTTGCTCGAAAGGCCGTCAATGATTGGCTGATGAACTTACGATCTCTTAACTTTTTTAAAGTATAGGCCCGGATAATCAATATTTCAGAATAATCACTAAGTAATTCACTCTTGCTTTCAAAATTAAGTGGAGACAAGTCTCCTGTCGTATGAAGTTCGAGTCATGCGTCAAACATACATTCATAATTGCATGTACAAGAAAAAGTGCGATCAAAATATTACGGCATTTCTCACACATTTTGGGTGATGCTTTCTCCTTCTTCACTGTCCAAGATTTTTAAGCGGCTTTTTTTCTGACAATATAATATGCATAAGCCGATAATGGAAATCCCACCTATGCAGGAGCCCACTGATATAATCAGTAGTACAGTTTTATCATTGATGAAACTTCTCGTAGCATTCTCCGTCGCTCTTGATTCCTCTTGATTCCTTGTAGCATCCTCCGTCGCTCTTGATTTCTCTTGTTTCCTCGTAGCATCTTCAATCGCTCTTGATTCCTCTTCATTTCTCGTAGCATCCTCCGTCGCTCTTGATTCCTCTTGACTTCTCGTAGCATCCTCCGTCTTAAAAATACCAGATATGTCCGTCCCAATTTTCGCGTCATTCGTGTAAGCCTGCTTGGTAAATTGGCTGGTTAGTTTTCATGATATGGAATTAGCGAGGAAATTCATCTGCTAGTATATTATATTGGAATTTTTTTTATACATTTCCTAAATAGCCAGTATATAGGAAATTCTGGCCAGCATATTCTTCTGGAATGAACGTTTTGAATGTAAATTCAATCAAGATCCTGGAACTAGTACTTTCTAATGATGCTTGCTCGTAAAAACATTTTCGTTTGAGAAATAACAGAAAATCATTTGATGTGAGAATTTAGAAAAATTATGGATACCTTAAAATATCAACAAGGATTCAAGGAAGCACATCTATATATATACAATGATCCCGCACAATGGTTCACCAGGTTTAACTTCATTCATATCTATATACGGTGAGTGCATTAATATCACATACAATTCACTTAGCAATTATTTCAGTTCAATGAGTGAAAGTGACGGAGAATAACAGTATTTACAGTAACCACGACGCGATAGTCTTGACCGGGTTGAAGATTGTGTATGTTGAAGACGCATCGGCTGCTGGTGTTCCGACCAGCAACATGTGATACTCCCGGCTGCTGGTCGAAACAGTCAGAAGAATTCATGAAGGCGATGTTGCTGGCATTTTGTGGTGCATTACGAAGCGTAGCATTGATACCGTAGCGTGTTACGCGATCTGGACACTCAATAGGAGGAGTCCAACTGATTGAGAGCGAGTTTTGGCCAGCTGTTATCTTCTCTAGTTCATGCGAAGCAGTGAATCCTACTCAGAAAAATTCGAAATTTTGAGTCAATTTGAGTCTTATACAAAAGCCTATACATATGTTATAGCGTAAGTTGCAAGCATTATACTGCATAATGCAATTTACATAAAATTGAAGGTGTAGAATTCATGTATTCTACGTTCATTAAAGCTAAAATTCTCCTCCCAAATGCTACCAGAATTTTTAGTAAGTCTTAGACTTACCGAGAAATAATTTGAGTTAATTTTTCTCACCTAAATTACCCGTGGTAGTTTGGATACAAGTCGAGGTACTGAACCCTGAAGTATATTCGGCCACAACACAAACATTGTAAACGCTGAGGCTGTGGGTGTCACTAATGGTGTAGCTATGACTGGATGGGTCAATGCTGATGTTTCGCTGCACATCTTGCAGCGGTGAGTGTCCTCCTTGTGCCAGGTGAGTGGAGTAATAAGATAGGAGGTATCGCGTCACCTTGCAGAGGGGCACCGGCCGTGTTTTCCAGTTCAATGTTATTCCGTGACAGTCAAGAGACTTCATGATCAGCGACTGTAACGGAAGGCGCAACGGCATTCGTCCAAAACGTTTTTCTGAAAATTCACGGGAAATTATTTTTAAGTTACAATTTAATTTTCTCACAGATACGAGTTGATCGCAATTTACTCAGCCTAAACAGCTGTAAATCTGAACTGTGCAAAAGTAACATCAACATTTTTAGCGCATTTTCTCATTTATGAAAGAAAGGAGCTATTCACGCCTTTTTTTCCGTGACTTCACGTTTTCGTCGATGAGAAAATGCGCTCTCTGTCACTCACTGCAGTGAGTACTGAGTTATATTTTTTAGAATTATTCTTCTCTTCACTCTAGTGTTATACCTTTCATGACTGACATCTCTTTTTGGGCTCAATTGAATTTATTCCATTAGTGTGATAAGAATGTAGGAAGATTTATTCCAAATCGCTGTTATAAATAGACAGAAGAAGCACACGTATTCCACTCACCCACGGGATTGAATAACAATTCCAGACAACTTTCGTTTCCGTAAGAAGAGTTGAAAGCTGGTGCAATGCAAATACTGACGTTTTTCAAGTAAACATTTTCATATACTGTGACTGTGTAATTTTCATACAATGTTTTAACTGTGACGTTGTCATGCAAGGTATTATTGTTAGCCGCAAAGACGGAGTATCGCACTCCGTATCCTTCGAATACTTCGTTTGATTTTGGCTTGTTCCACGTGACAGTCACTGACGAGTCGGACATATTCAGAATTTTCAAATCATCCACGCTCACAAATTTTGAATCTGTCATCAAGAAAATGGAAAAATTGTACTTGACGCTCAGGCTTATATGGGTTTTCTTGAATAACCTATGCACAACTAACTAGGTGTAACATCAGAGTGATCTCAGTAAGAGGTCATAAAAACAGGCTTTACCTTAATACATCTTAGTTTACTTTTGGAATCTAATAAAAACCTGAGAAAGTTTCATGGATATTCGATGTATTTTTACTGCACACTCTATTTAATGTATTCCCTTGCTACTGTTCCGAAAAGCAAAGAGTATGAAATGTGCAATTTTAAACCCACCTGTTCTGTTCCCATATTTGAATGTTGTCAGAAATTTCATGAGCTTAAAAGAATATGCAACACAGGGAGGCAGAGAATTTTCCACACACTCGAGTTCACTCAGAGTGCTGGAAAATATTTCGAAATATTTCAGAGTGCTGGATATTTCGTTTTCGGTTGAAGTCCCATTTCTTTTGCGCAGGAAATATCCGCACCATTGCCTGTTCTTGTCCATGAACACCATGTGTTGGAATAAATTCGTGAATGGGGCTAATTCTGAAAATGGTCATTGTGAGTGAATAAGCCATCATCTAAATCTGACTAAATTTCAATGACACTTTATCAATATTTCTTGATAAAAGGTGAAATCATACATCAGTTTCACTAGTTTTACGAACAAATATCAAATGGTGTTAAGCGTTTCTATATATCAATATCAAATTCGATCCAGTTAATACAATGGGATCACTGTATACTATAAGTATGTTTTCCGTTACAACATTTTTTTATAAATGTATTAAAATGTATGATTATGGTGAGCAATGCAAATTTCAATGCATATTTTCATCAAATGTGACAACAACAAATGTGAAGAAATAACGAACCAAGAAATAAATTATTTGAATCTTAACCTTGTTTGTATTATAATTAATTGAATCACACATCACATTACCTGGAATCCCCCAATTGGCGCAGGAAAGAGATGTATCAACTAAGCAATGCGATGTGAGGTTTGTGATGAATTCTTGTCTCTGAGCTTCCGTCTTGTCAGCCTGGCAGCTCTGTGAAAATTTTTAATATGTTCGTGTACAAAGAACTAGTTAACATCAACCTGATACATATTTATTTTCAGTTTTTTTCGTAACATTTACTGTTTTTATACAGAACTTAACTAGTAAGTATTTTAACACGTGCTTCACGAGTCCTCATACAATATAATTTATTATTTAATCGACCTTTTAGAACAGAGTTTTCATATTAAAAGTTCTCAAACACCTTCCTTTATTATTTTTCCATGCTGCTGATGGAATGCGATGTCAAATTTAACCAAATTCGAGTGGTTAAACCTTGCAATTTTTCTCCCAATATTCTCTGCGCAACGGTCGAAATTATTTCCGCCATAACAGTCCTTCAGCATTCACAGGTTACTATTCAGCGCAAAAATATTAACATTTGAAATGAAATATTGAACACAAATCAACTAGGTCCTGGCTGATTCTAGCCCTGTTATCAGTTAATGAATGTACATAGTCTTTTATCTATGATTAAATGCAGACAAGGTAATTTAAAGTGTTGCTATGCTAGGTCATTGTTTAAATAAACGATGCAATAAGATCAAAAGCGTTTAAGTAATGCGATACGCATCAAGGTACTCACCGTTAATAGAAAAAATATTGTGCAACTCAAAATTAAAAACAGGGAACCTGCTTCAGGCATGTTGAAAAGGTAAAAAATATATTCTTTTTTGACTTCGAGTGCGCTAAACAAACTACGTGATTTTTGGACGAGAGCTCATCACGTGCAACGCTTTCACGAACACTGTATACTGACAGCGAGGCTCAAAGTGATTTTTTCACAGAGATTTAGATTACAGAGGTCATTCCTGACCGTTGGAGCCTCTGTACACAGATAACGCTAATTCAGCAGGATAACCATTATACGTGTTAAAGCTCACTGATAAAAAAATGGCCTTTAGGTCATGATGAACTCAATTTTCAATTATTATCATTCGGAAAAGAACGTAAGTTGAATATACATTATAATTATATCATAAGATTGTCACTCACGGCATTAGGCAAATTTTATTGAGAAGGTGCAGAAATTGAGGGCAATATTGAAATATAATTTGGTACATGCAAATTTAATTGTGATTGCATTTCATTGCTCAAGATAATAAGGGGTTAGCATTCAAAGCTACCACACAGTTAAAATTTTAGGCCGTGGCGCGCGTGTTTATCGGCGTGGAGGGCGATTATAAGCGCAGAGCGGCAGATTGGCCGTTTTTCCCATATCTCGGCTACATAGCGCTCGTGGGCTGCGAGGTGATGGACGGGCCGCACGGCGACCATCGGCGACAATTCGCGTGGTACTTCAAGGTTGTTTACAAACGAGGGGCCGCCTGCTACCCACAACCATATTTCGGCTGCTATATATATATAATCGATTCCTCAATCGATCACGTGCGTGCGTAAGTTGGTGATCGAACCTAAACCTAAAATTTGACATACACTCCTATTGAACAAAAGACAGTTGCTGATATCGTATACCGATATTTACACAGAGATATTGCATTTTTACGCATCTCAGAACACTGACACTTACTCGTTAAATGGAATACTTCTATCTTACAAAAA